CCACCAAGTCCCATGGATTCTCGACGACAGGTCTTTATGATACTAAGCTTAACATCAGAATGAAAGGAAAAAGCTGTTGGCAATTACAAAATACTAAATATAGCTCAGTACCTTTAAAAATGAACAATGCTAAAAGCCTTGAAATTTTTTTCTTTGATGTGAATGGAGTCTTTGGCATTTGAAATACAATGAGATGAATTAATTACTACTCATTAGACGACAAGTCAGACGAAGTATGAATGTGCCATCTCTCCTCAGCATTAGCTGTTGCCTGACTGAAATAGCCCCTTTTGTATTTACTCTCGCCTTCTCTAACAATAAGCAAATTAGAGATCATGGCTAGAAACATTCAAGTGCCCACCATCCTTTCTACAGAACCTTCGTACAGTTTTATGATGTTTATCTTCTCGGGGCCTGCAGCGGATAATTGCACAGGTTGTGTGAATCCACCTCGTACAAGATTAGAAACAACATCTGCAAAATTACTTCTGAGGAAACTATTTTGTGTTTTGTCTTTTTCTGAAAAAGTGATTTTGCAGGCAAATTGCTGTCTTCCCTCCCTTGCACTGTATTTTTATATCGCTGGGAAAAGTATATTTGAAGAAAAACATTTAATAGCTATCAAGAGTCTTTGCATCTGTGGTCTCTTTTTGACTTGCATGTTTTCTTGATATATTGGTCACTTTCCATACAAATAAATTAGTTCAGAGTCTTGTATTAATTCTAAAATGATGGCAAGGAATAAACAGATTCAGAATAAATTGATTTAGTATGCCATTCATGAAAATTCTATATGTGGCAGTTATAATGTATTATATATGCATACATGTTACTTTTTATATCATGGTTACATTTTTTATGGTTAATATTAAGTTACCAGAGAATTTATTTCTCAGTAATCAAAAGCTAAGCAAGTAGAGGGGAAAGAAGGAACAAAGCTCCACTCATTTTCAAATACTGACTCATTAGAAGATCTCAGGCCACATGCATTTATAATGCTGCTGCCTTCCTGTCATGTATATTACATGTAGGTATTTTCCTAACATTGTGTACATTTCAACCGTGAAAAGGAGGCAGTCAGTGGAACATAGAGCTGTGGCAGCAGCCGTGTCCGCTTCATGAAATATGAAAGCCTGTGCATTAGTAACAGTAACAGTTTGAAAGGCTTTAGGCTGAGGGGTGACACAGCCCTCTGGACTGTGTGGGCGAGAGCACCCACTGACAGTGTGGCAAAAATTGGATCATGAAGGAAGTGAGGTGATCAGAAGTGCACCCCAAGCTTGAGTGCTTTGCCATCTTTACCCTTCAAGCCAGAGGGGCCCTTGTTCTTGGTCCCCATCCTCTCTCAGCCGTCTCAGGACCCATGTTTCCTGATGCGTTACTCCTTCCCCCATTCCAGGTAATGGGTTTTGGTTAGGTTCCTCTGGAAAAGACATTTTTGTCTTTTTTTTTTCTTTGTATCATAAAGATGATGAGACATGAAGTCAGTAGTAATGAGTCAGTGCAAACATATCCAAGCTTTTTCTTGAGATAAATTTTTCTTAATTCGTATATGATTGCATGTGTACATAGACACCCGGAGTGTTTCCTGTGACACAGTGGTTAAAGGCACGTCTGTTAACCAGAAGTTGGTGGATCAAACCCACCAGCCACTCCATGGAGGAAAGAAGTGGCGGTCTGCTTCCATAATGATCAGAGATTTGGAAGCCGTATGGAGCAGCTTTCCTCTGTCCGTATTTGGGGTGGGGTCACCAACTGTGAATCAGAATCCACTTGACATCACACAGCCTGACCCCACAGTCTCTGACACATTATTTCCCTTGTTCAAGGTAGAAGTTTAATGAGCTCATCTTTTACAAATCTTACCTACCTCACGGAAGCTTTGATGTGAAAATGTTTTAGAATAAAATTAATAATGGTATAAAAAGACAATGTATGTCTTAAAACAAAAATGTCACTTATTTGGCTACGTTAGCGACACCACCCCTCCCCTCCCCAAGTCTAGTGTGATTGATAAGGATAGACTAGGATTTTAAAATGTCCAGGATATTAGACCACAGCACCTCAGAGAAGCAATTTACTCAGGTGTGACATTTAGAGTTATAATTTTCCCCAAAGCCAGGCCTGTATCTACTGGGCTGAAAATGACAATTTCGAGATCCTTCCATTGAAATCTCTTAGCCTGGCATCCTTCTGTGCTCCCATTTCAGGATAAGTGGGTCTACAGCCAAGCTCTCACTCCTGATTTCAAGATATCCCTGCTGGCACTTATTATCTCCGAGGTTACTTTAGATTTTAAGCAAAGATTTCTAATATCTTTAATTTTCAAATGCATATCATCGATAAAGGGGAGGTGTTACAAAATTAAATGAGTCGGCAGAATGTCTCCATGACAGAAAGTAGGAAATCACTGGGACAGACATTTTCAGTCCATTTGCAGAAAATTGCCTATTCTCAAATAGGTAGGTCAAGTGCAGAAAGAACCTCTACTTGAGATAAAATTTCCTCTCCACACTTGGCTTTCTCTCTATTAGGAAAGGCAGCTGAGAGCTGCCCAAGTTTTAGCATCTTGCTATCTTCTCATTAGTAGGGTTTTTTTTACTAGTTATATTAAGGCATTTTTGCTTCCAGTGAAATTTATAAACTGCATGTGTTTTATTCTGGGCTTTAGTGCATATGTAAACTCTTTCTTCTAAGGAAATTTTAATAATGCTAAGCATGAATGTTCTGTGATGCCCAAGGAGAATGCAGCTTACTGACATCGGGGGCTCATTTGACACCATCTCCCCTAACTGTCCCGAGAAAGCACGCTTCTTACTGCCAGAGGGCAAGAGCATGGTACTGAAGCAACTGTTGTGCTTTCTTGCTTTTGAGCTTTTGTTATCATCTGAGTACCTGTAGAATGCTGGGTCACAGGAGACACAAACTTTATTTTATTAAAGAAAAAGATCATGTTCTTAGGTTGTAGGACATAAATTGCAAATGTGATGGCTTTTCTCCTCTCCCTCACTGACTACTGCCCTTGTTAAAAGAGAAAAAATAGCAAACTTTGATAAAAATTTTGAAGACTCCGTAAGTTTAGAGAAAATAACAGTATTTTAAGTTACTCTAAAGATGGAGGGTCAACGAAGGAGAGGAAGACCCCCAATGAGATGGACTGATGTGATGGCTTTAGCAACGGGCCTCTAGTGTGTCAGATGATGAGGATGGCCCAGGATAGGCCAGGGTTCAGGTCGGCTGGTCATAGGATCGCTCTGAGTCATACTCACTGGAACTTAAAAGCAACAATAGAATAAGGTGGGTTATGGAAATGTTTGGACCTGGACTTTTCATTCATGAATTACCCGACCTAATAGTGCCTAAATGTACTCTCTACTGGATAAACAGAATCTCCCCCTGCCACCACCACTTTATAAACATGGAACCCCAGGTCTGCGAAAAGCTCCGTGCTATTCTCTGGGGATGGTGTCAAGCCTTCAGTCTTTCTTAATACTCTAAGACGTCTCAGCTGCCATTTTCCAGGCTTCCCTAAGTTGATCTCTGCAGAAGTTAGTAAGACTTCTTGCACGTGGCTAAGCCTGAATTGTAACACTTGTACCATTACTTCAGTTTTAGGAATCACCTTGAGAACATTTATAACTCTTCTTAAAAGGGTTTGGGACTGGAGTCCAAAGTGACTGATCTAAAGAGAAACTAACGTGTTCGTATTAATGTCAGTAATCTTCATCCAGGTGTTTGTGGACTATATATAATTGTCCTTTAGGAAACTTAATGGAACAGGTGTCAGATAAAGTCACAGGACCAGTGAAGAATGGATTTCCTGGGCCACTGAGGTTCACACTTACAGGGCTTGGTTGAGCTTGAGGACATATTCACACTGTCTAGCACTTTGATTCCCAAAACTCTTGCTTTAAGATTTGCCTTTTTTTCTGGCATCTTCCCAACCAGAAATATTTTAAAAAAATAAAAAACTCTGCCTGAGGAAGCTACTCTAGATGAGAGCAGTCGACAGATTAACAAAGGGAGATTAAATTTAAAGAATGCCATGTGCTGAGATACAGAGGCAGCAGGAGCATCACTCAGCAGTCCCATGGAGACCAGTAACCTCACATCCTCCCAGGGCCCCCCAGGTGTCACTCAGGCATTTGCACATGGTTACAGACCTTCACGGTGATGGTGAGCAGTAATGAAAAGCTGTTACAGTCCTCATTATTCGTTTCTCTTATAGGCCAGAGGAACATATAAAATACTGTAAAATTTATTCATGTAGGGTCCCTCCCCCAAGGGCTAATGTAAACTCTTGGAAAATCCACAGTGTTGTGGAGCAAACTAGTGTCTCCACCTTGGGACCAACTAATGGATCTTTCTTAGAAGCCCCTAGTGCCTGTGTTACTGGATTTGATGTTTCATTTTAATGCCTCCTCATGACCTTGCCTTTGGCACCTCAGTGTGTTTATTCATCACATTTGATTAAATCTGTAAACCTTGAAAACAGCCTTTCTGCTGATACTTGGCATCTTACTGAAGCTTCCCTTGTCCCTCACTCGCTCTCTAAACTCTCCCAGTGGTGGCTGGGGCATGTGGGTTTGTGTTTTATTTTGGTGTCACGGTTTTGGTATTAGAAGAAGAAGGATTCCAGGCCTGGCTGAGTGTAGAGCCAGGAACCCTTCCATGTTTACCATCCCTGAAACCCTACCTGAGCCTACCGGGCTGCCTCACTCACACCTGAGGTCTAACCATTTCTCCTTCTGTCTTAGAGAAGCTGGGAGGGTAGTTTCTGATTATTGCTTTTCTTGGGTAACCTTGTTGGTAACTACCCTTCTCATAAGTCATTTAGACCCTATATTTTCCTGTAATGTGGGGAAGAAGCATACTCTCTGATATTTTATTGTCCCCAAGTATTGTGTATTTGTATCCCGAAATGCACATTAACTGAAGAAGAAAAGTAACCTTGCCTTTGTACATAATAATTTTAACAAATTGTTTATTATTGTATCCAGGTAACAAGCATGGTAAGTATTTTCAACAAACTTGAGTATTCTGTATTTTAGCTGTGCTTGGCAGTCATATTGGCTAGCTTTATGTTCTCAGCCGTGGCTTTTCTAGAGAAGATCCACTTAGGAAAAGAGGAGACCACTTGCCTGTAGAATCTCCCATGTCCTTGGCTTTAGAATGAACCCACGTATGTGCAGACCCACGGTGGGGATACTGAGCATGCACCCGCCAGCATGCGCTTAGCCCCGCCCTCCTGCCCCATCCACCTGCTGCTTCTGAGCTGCCGCCAGGTGCGTGCGGGGCTTCCAGGCCTCCCCTGATGCCAGCCTACCTGGACTGAGGCCACGTGGCAGCAGCCACACGTAGGGCTTCTCAGTGCTTCGTGGATGGGCTTACCCCAGTCCACAGTCATGTCTCTTTCCTCCCTCTACCCATCAGTAGGCTTACAAACAAGACCTTTCATTTTCCCTTTGAACTTAAGTAATTGGGGAAATCTCCTGGAAGCTGAAAATAGATATTCTGCCTTTTCCGAAGCTTCCAATGCTCTTGAAAATTACAGTTTAAAAAAAGTATATTATTTTTGAAAAAATCTTGCCTTTAAGTATTCTTAGTGAATGTTCGGAGCTACAGTGGGCTGAGTCTGTTTTCGCCTAGTGGCTGTATTCATTCATCAGTGCATGTTTGCTTTTATATATATATATGGCTCTGTATTTTAGTATGTGTGCTTGTGGCTGTGCCTGTTTGATCTGCATGGTAGTCATGCCTTATGTATTAAGTCGATGTGTCACTGTCACATTCAAGGATCAGACTGCAAAGGATAAGGCCCTGCAACACATGGCAGCCATGTCCTCAGCCCAGATAGTCTCAGCCACCGCCATTCACAACAAGCTAGGGCTGCCTGGGATTCCACGCCCGACCTTCCCGGGGGCACCAGGGGTAAGTCACCTTGCCTGCAAAAGGGATGGCTCCCAGGGATGGCGGAGTCAGCATGGGCACCATTAAACCCTCCTTCCATAACGTCCTGGAAAATGAGAACATGGAAAAGACTACAGGGTCCTGGGTAAAAAATAACCTGCCCAGCCCACCATCATTGAGTTGGAACCAACTTACAGCTCACCCGCTATTGTGTTTCCAAGACTAAACTGCACAGCAGCAGATTGCTCGCTTTTCTCCTGCAGAGCTGCTGATGGATTCGAACCACCGGAGGGCTGCAGGCCTTTGGGTTGATGGCGCAGCTTTCTATGGACTAGCCACCAGAGCTCCCTGGATGCCGAATAGTAACGATAAAAAGGAGAGAGGAGGAAGGCTGGGAGAGAAAGGAACAGGAGGAGAGGAAGAAGGGGGAAGCTGGTCCTGGATCCCAGCCACACATACCGTTCTGGGTCATAATAGCCTTTGTCTCTTCTTTCTGATATTAGTCTCTGTTCTCAGAATTACCTTGCACCCCCACCTCTCAGGGCAACTAGGGGGACAAAGTCATCTATAAACATTTTCATTTGACTTCCAGCAAGGGCTCAAGTTTATAATTTAAGCTAATTCTCAGAACAATCTTAAATTCCTTATATATTTCTTGCCATTTTACAGACCAGGAAACTGAGGTTACTTCATAACAAAATTAGAGGTTAAGCATCATGGGCAGGGATTGTGAAGCAGCATTCAGACACAGGCTGCCTGGCTTCCAACTCTGTGCTCTCTCTTTGCATCATCTGGTTCTCGCAGGGGCATGACAGACCTCAGAGGCCTCAAAGAGGCGCAAAGCAGGGAGGTGTCTGTGCTGCTGTCGAGCTCCTGGCACTCCATTGTGGAAGAATGTAGAAGAGGAAGCAGGCTGGGTGCATGGATAAAGCTGTGGGGAGCTCATTTTACTGCTGGGTGTAGTGAGGCTAGAAAGAGGAGAGAAAAAGCCCGAGTCCTACTCACAAGGGATTTTCAGGAAAAAGGAGCTCGGGGGAGCTCTGGGCTGCCAGGCTAAGGAATTTTTCTTGACCATCCGGGCAGAGTTGACCTCATCTGAATTTAGAAAGGATGGGTCAGGCAGCTGTGGCTGGTGGGATCCGTTGTCTTTTAGTAGGGGTTGTAATACTGAGATGTCTTGAACCAGTCTTTGAAGTGAACTCTTGCCTGAAGCCTCTTTCCCTTTGCCTTCCAGTTCTGGCCAGGGATGATACAAACAGGGCAGCCGGGATCCTCACAAGAGTAAGTCTGAGGAGGGGCCATCACTGGCAAGGGGCTGGTCACAGTCTTTTGAGGGGCAGATTTCTTCAGGCCTTCAGGAGAAAGGAGCTTTACTCTGAAAACACCCAACCCCTTGCCCCTGATTATCTGTGCAGATAGTGCTGAAGACCATTAACAAGAAAGGTTGCCCCCTCGGATAGGGAAGTGTTTAGACACTCACTCCCACCTTCAGTATCAGAGAGGTAGTTTCTAGTGGGTTTGTGGTTGGAGACAGTCAATCCCTGTCCCTTCCTGCCTACGGAGCTCAGTCTAGCATCCACCCTAGGGGACAGCCTTGCCCGGATGGTTATCCTAGGTTAATGGTATGGTAAGAGCAGCTAATAAAAAATCCTTCTGATGATTTGAGGTCAAGGACTGCAACCCTCAGGAAATTGGCAGATAAAGGGCAGTTAGCAGACAAAAGCAGAAGAGAAACCTACCTGTTGTCAAAAAAGTATTGAGCTGTTTGACCAAGAGGAGAACTTACCTGAAACATGTCCCCAGCCGTCCCTGCAGATAGACATTATTGGCCTCTTCCTCTGCCAGGGTGCAAGAGGTTTAAATACACACCTCACAGTACATGGAAGTCAGGCTGACATCTGAGCTGTGACCCCTAGCGCCTCAGTGGACCTTGGCATGTAAAAAGGACTGGGCCTGGGATGTGTTAGCTCCTTTGGGAGGGAACCTCAGGTGGGATCTGTAGCTGTAGGAGGCCTCGGTCAGGCCTGAGGAGTAGCAGCTAATACAACTTGGTTAGTGATTCTCACCTCTCTCTTCCCAGCGTCAAGCCCTTCGTGCAACAGGCCTACCCCATCCAGCCAGCGGTCACGGCCCCCATTCCAGGTAAGTCTTAACGGGACCCTCTTGAGCGTGGTCCTGAATCATTTTCTGCCCAGGGTGGAGAGATGCTCTTTCTGTCCACAGGAGTTCTTGTTCTGACTTACAGACCTGTGGACACCCTTCCTTGCTCCACTCTCCCTCAGCTGGGGATTAGCCTGGAGCTCAGGACGCCACAGAGGTATCCTCTACTACATCCTAACCCACTCCGGTCTTCTCATGAGACCTCTTCTAATGGGATCCTAGAGAAACAGGAAGCCTGATCACTTTCACCTAGCACACATGATAATCCTCAAAGGGGAAGTTGCCATGACTGCTTCCTTATCATAAAAAAGGCACAACTGGCCAAGTGCCAATCCCAAGTCTGACCTCAAATCTGAAGGGCAGTTGTGGTTTTATTCACCCTCACTAAGACATTCCAACTTCTAGTATTCCTTCTTCAAAGAAAGGTTAACATGGAATCTTGTAACAGTAAGCACGACTCTGCCAGCCCATGTCTGTCTCCCTCGCCACCCACCATACATGTACCCCTCAAGTATACGAACACGTGCTCAACAGAGCTGCCCGGGGAACAGGTTACAGGCACTGCTCATCATTACAGAGGTCCTGATGGGAATGGTGGACTATATTCTCTTCTCCATTGTGCTGTGTTTGGAGAATATCCTGTAGTACTGGTTGCCACCGTCATAGAAAGGAGATATAAGCAAACAGACAAAAGGGATACCCAGCATGTCAGGTCTCATAAAAAATCTTTGGAAGCGTCCTCTTGTCATTGCTTCGTCGCTGTTGGCTTGGTCCAGGATTGAGTGTCCTCTTGTCTCCCTTTATGTAGCTAATGTGGATTCAGGACCTGCCTGAGCCCTGACCTTAGCTGCAGTGGGGTTTATGAAAAGCCCATGTGGTTTACTTCCTTGACTGGTCACTGTCTGGGATCCTCCATCAGCATCTTACCACTGTCTTATTTCCATACCCAGATACTGATGAACACGGTGTTTTGTATGGAGTTGTTCCTGTTACTGGCATGAGGTCTGGGTGAGGCGAGTGTCCAGGCTTAAAGTTACCATTGTCCTTTCAGGATTTGAGCCTGCGTCAGCCCCAGCTCCCTTGGTCCCTGCCTGGCAGGGTCGTTCCATTGGTACAACCAAGCTACGCCTGGTGGAGTTCTCAGCTTTTCTGGAACAGCAGCGAGACCCAGACTCGGTGAGCATGCTCGATGAGGTATATCTTAAACCTGAGATTTGCTCCTTCTCTCTCTCCTACTTTTCCTCTCCTGCTTGACAAGTAGAGGCAAAGATAGGCCAAGCAGCCTTCCAGTCAACAAAAAAAGCTGTCCCCACTGATAAAAAATGTAGTAATTTAGAGCCAAATATCTACGAACTCCAGACAATACTTGGGGCTGAAGGAAGAGACCTACAGAGGATCTTAGATTTAGTAAAATTTAAAAAAAAACATTTACTGTGTCTTGTCTTGAGGCTGATACTGTGCAGAGCTCATAATTTATCCTCAAAAGTCCTCTGATGGTCGATTTGGAAGAGGAAACAGGCCCTAGCCACACAGTTAATAATGACTGGATCTGAGATTCAAACTCAAGTCTTTAAAACACCAAGTCAATTTAACCATTATGCTATATTACCTTTCTAAGTCTATGCTTTTCCAAGATAGAATATTATTATCTTCTTAAGGAAATGTTTTTTTAAAAAAAAAGGATACTTTGGTGTTTTAACATGGAATGGGATGCTTTATAATGTCATAAATACCAATAACAATGGCATCTGGACTCTGTCCTTTTCCTCCAGTTCCCCCTCCCCTCATCCTATCCAGTACCCATCATCCCATTGTTTCTCAGCCAGGCCCCTTGTTTCCCATACATATGTGATCCTCCCTCCTTTCCCACCCGACGAGCCCGGTACCCTTTCTTCACACCCACTCCTTGGCTGGGAGTACGAGCATTGCATCTGTGTGTGGGAGAACTCAAGGCAGAACTGAAGGAATCATGGGTTTGTCATTGGGATCCTCACCAATTCCAGTCTCCATTCTCTCTCATCCCACCCCACTATTCTTGGGGACTACTATAGATCCTTTTGTTCTTTGTGTATTTGTCTGCCTTGCTGTCCTTCTGTATTGGGAGAAAAATGTCATGGACAGCAGTGTATTATAAATAATGGAATGAACATGTGACCTCTAGGAGCATTTGTGGTGTTGCTCAGTGGGGATCCCATGTGGTAGCATGGGGAGGCCTTTCCGTAGAAGAGATTTATTGAGCATCACCAGGTGGAGGCATCACATATACATATGTGGCCTGCTGGTATCCATGGGCCTGTGACATGAGAACTCTGGGAACTGGAGGGAAAATAGAGCCTACTCCAAAATTAGCGCTAAAAATGAGGTCCTTGAGCCAGTTGGTAAGGAAAGCAGAGGTGTTGAGGTCAGGAAGAGGCAGTCATTTAAGAAGACCATTTTCCTCAAGATGTACTGGGAGGGGGAGAGGGAGGGGGTAAAATCTTTATCTGTGGGGAACATTTAAACACATTTAGGTTATTATCTTTGTGAGTCTGTGTTTCCTCTTCTTTAAGAGATTTTCCCCTGGAAAATGTGGATGCCTCTGCTTTCTCGAACTCATGTTCATATAATGCCTCCTTTTTCACAACAATTTGTCATTGTTTAGTTCATTCTGTCCTCATAAATTATAGGTCCCTTATATTACAGATGAAGAAACTGAGACCCAAATTGTTTCCAAGTCTTCTTTTTAAAATGTTTGAATGTGTTTCCGGGGAAGGTGTACACAGCACATGAGCTTTCCATCTAACAGTGTATACATAGAATTTCAGAGACATTGACTACTGGCCTCAAAATGTGTCAGCACTCTCAGTATCTTCATCCATCCAGTTTCCTATCTCTCCTGGTTTTCCCTATTTGCTTTAGGGGTAAATGGTATGACCATTGGTGTCATATAATTGATGCTTAAAGGAGCATTTTTTTTGAGAGTGGTAGTAATTATTTTATGGGCCTGTTATTTGGCTGAAAGATGACCTCCAAGAGTAGCTTCAGCACCAAGTTAAAAAAGGTGTCTTAGCATTAAAATTTTGGAGGTTCTTCTAGTCTCTATCAGTTTAGTCTTTTTTTATTTATGTATTTTTTATTGATTTGCATACAAAATCATCATATACATTGTGTTTCATGCATTCCTACATTCACCCCATGTTTCACATTATCATTCCCATAGTGTGTTTTATAAAATTGATCACCATCAAATTGACTCTTGTTCCACATATTTCTCTCACTTTAGAAGGAACTTTCTATTGCATTCCATTATAAATGAATAATAGTGGTAACTGGGCTCCATCTAGTTCTGCTCTCAGGTTAGAAGAGGCTGTGGGTCACATGAGCCATTAGTCCCAGGGGCTAATTTCTTCTTGCTCCATATAGGAAGAGATCAATAGTTGTATCATAGTTGGCTGCTCTCAAGCTTTTAATACCCCAGATGCTACTTACAAACTAGCATGTAAAACAGTATAAACTGAGTTATGCCAGTTGAGCTGTCCCATGAGTGCTATGGTCCTGAGCCTTCAGACCCAGTAAGTTCTATCCATTTATTTGGATATGTATAGGAAGTGTCCATGAGACACCCTTTATTTTATGTATGAGCATATGCCATATATAAAAACATGTGTAACATAAGGTTAAGAATATGTTCTCCCATGTACTCCCATACACAGTCCCACACCTGTAAAACATGCATAGTACCCATTCAGATTTTTTTTGCTTATTGTTACTATTATTGCAAAATTTACCATGTTACTACTGGTACTACATGTTACTAATTTACCATGTTACTCTGTGGAGTCTAAAAGACTCCTAGCTGACTCTCCAGAGAGTTTTCAGAGGCTGTAAATCATGTCTTTCTTCTGCAGAACAACTGATAGATTTGAACCACTTACCTTTGGGTTAACAGTGGAACCAGAGTGCCACCAGCATTTGCTGTAGTTGTAATTTATTCTTGCTTACCTCTCAGCATCATCATTTCCCTGAGTTAACTTGTATAGACTTCCTCCATAGTTTGCATTGCATTTCCTATGGTCAGAGTCAACATGTGTCTGTTACCTAGTAAAGGAGCTCTGGTGGTGTAGTGGTAAGAAACTAAGGCACAACTCTAAGGCACAGGTTTCGAATCTGCTGCACCAGAGAGAGAGGGGCAGTTTCCTCTTGCACAATTTACTGCCTCTGAAAACTTGATAGAGGGTCAGCTATGAGTGGTTCCAACTCAACAGTCCCAGACAACTGCTGTCTAGCAGATGATTTCGCCTCAAAAAATAGTAGCTTTCTGTGTGTGTACCATATACACATTCACTGTCAGGAAACACTGCTCCAAATTCTGACTCTTTCTCGAGTTTTACCTGCAGTCTGATCATCTCTTATGTGAGCAAATCTTGCTGCCTTTATTCATGACCATTTTTTGAGGAAGAGAACTCCAAGACACTGGGAAGGAAGTACAAGTCCAGGTCATTTCCCTGGCTGAAACAACTTGATGATCCAAGGGCCAACTTCATCTCTGTCAGCCTGTGTTTCATGACCTTAACATTTTGGAAAAAATGTAATAATTCGTAAAGTCAGTCTATTTTGTAGACATTCATTGAACACCCTTAACGTATGAGTTCTATCTAGAAGGTGGATCCCAGAACTGTATAGACAGCCAGTCTCTGGCCATACAGAGTATAACATCGAGTAGGGAAGACAGACATGAAAGAGATAATCACAGTTACAAAGTGAGGTGACTGCTGAGCTGGAACCCTGACAAGTGCTGTGAGGGACCTTGCAGGAGACGTGAAGGAAGTGACCATTATGCTGAGGATTGGAGAACTGGAAAGGGGGAAATTCAGGAGAATTTTTCAGAAGTGATGAGCTGAAGTCTTTAAAGCAGTAAATGAAAAGGCTTAAATATTTTATAAAGCCAGAACCCACCAGTCCCAGGAAATAGGTCCAAAGATCTGTGTTCAAGATCCCATCTGAGGGGCTGAATGGTTCACTGGGCCCGAGCTTTCAGGGTTTTATTGATGAATGAAAAGGTGTGGCTATCTGTGGATACAGGTTATTTAATTCAATACCATTGATTCCTTCTGTTCTGTATGTACTGCCAAGTCTGAACTAACTCATAGCTGACCCTCCAGCAGGTTTTTAGAGGCTGTAAATCACATGGAAGGAGATTGTTCATCTTTCTATCACAGAGCAGTGGGTGGATTTGAACCAAGTACCTTTGAGTTGGCAGCTCACCTCACACCTCCTGCCCACTGAGCTCCCATAGGGATTCCAAAGCTTTAATCTTGATTACACACGACCACATCTTTCTTCTATTGGCGTGACTCTGGTTTGACCCTCCACCGCCCCCCAACCTTCTGGTATATGGCTGAGTGCTTAAGCACTGTGTCACCAGAACTCTTTATAGGTTATATAGACTCTGAAGAAATTATTCCGAAGTCCCTAAAGTAAGTGGAAGGCCTAGTGTGAGTCAGCACCCTCGGCATCTTGCTCTAATTTTGGTTGAGGTTATATGTGAGTTGGAAACTGGGAGTATTTGGAATTAATTCAGAAGTACTTTGTGTTCACCTACTAGCTCTGGTGGCCTAGTGGTAAAAAGCTGCTCTGCAATTCCAAAGGCATATGGCTTGGATTCACCAGATGCTCTGTGGGAGAAGGCTGAGCATTCTCCTCCCATGTGATTTACTGCCTCTGAAAATCTGCTGGAGGGTCAGTGGTGGGTCACTTCTGACTCGATGGCACTCACCGCCACCACTACGTATTTAACACTGCTCCAGTTGTTAGGGATTCAACAGTGAACCAAAACAAGGTTGTTCTCGTGAGGTTTACATTCTGGTGGAGAAGGCACGCAAGAACTAGCCAAATAAATAACTATGAACTGTGTCAGTTGATAAGAGTGCTTCTGTGAAATAATGAGCATTCTTTACTAGTGGAAGGTATTCATTTTAAATAGGAATATTTCAGAAGATAGTGATATTCTCTTGACTTGTTGCATTATAACTTTAAAGTTACGCCTTAGTTCAAATCTTAATCAGTTTTTCATGTCAGATAAAGTCAACAAGCGTTGTATCAGCATGAGTGTGAGTTGTCAATAGTGCTTCGAATATGCCCTCGTTGTAAATGCTTGTTTTGCAGAGGCAGACTGTGACAGGCACATGTATTTGATT